AACCACCAGGCAGGAAGACACACAGGCTCAGAAACAGACAAGGGCAGAGCTGCTCTATCTGATGGGGACCCTGTGAGTGGGACTCACCTTGATGGCACTGAGTTTGATGCAGTCAGTCATGCCTGGGGTTAATTCTCCTTCTTTTCCAAAATCCAATAGCCATGACTTGGACCTGTGTCTTTTTGCTTGCAAAATAATCCATTTTAGAATGTTCTAGAGCTAATATATAAAGTGCCTGGTATATACATTATGTTCTAGCTATAGATGATATGTGGGCCTATGTCAAAAATATTAATGATGATTAAAAGGAAGTCTACTCTCAAATCTCTGGAGATTGTTTGATTTTCTAGTAAGGGTAGAGTTAATTCACACATACCATCTCTTTGATGGGAAGGCAGGAAGCCTCTGAAAACAATCTATTTCTTTATAGTTGGAATAAGAAGATGTATAGGAGTACTTATAAAGGAGATACAGATATATTATTCAAAATTAGCAAAATATATTTAATTCAATAGCTTTTTATTTCAGGACCACCAAAAATATGTTTGAGGACTAAGGTGTACCCGATCTAGGTCATGGTATTTTTAATCGTCTCATATATACATGTGAAAGTTGGACATTGAATAAGGAAGACCGAGGAAAAACCGACTCATTCAAATGATGGTGTTTGGTAAGAATATTGAAATTTTCCTGGACTGCTAAAAGAGCAAAGTGATCTCTCTTAGAAGAAGTACAGCCAGAGTGCTCCTTAGAGGCAAGGATGGCAAGCTTTTGTCTTACTTACTTTCCTACATGTTTTCAGGAAAGACCAGGCCCTGGAGGAGGACACCATGCTTGGGGAAGTAGTGATTCCTTCCGATTAAAAGAGGAAGACCCTCAATGAGATGCATCATCAGTGTCAGGGATGGGCTCCAACATGAAGGCACTTGTGAGGATGGCACAGGATCATGCAGGGTTTTGTTCTGTTGTGCGTGGATGGCTTTGAGTCGGAGTCCACTCAATGACTACTTTAACTCACCAAAAAACGCTTTCACGCATAGTGTTGTACTCCTTCTTCAGCATCTCAGTGAGAATGCTGGTAAGTACTTTCACATGAATGCTCTGCTCCAGAGCACATTTTGAGAGAAGCCAACTTTATGACTAGAGCTCACATCAGCTGTACTGTTACTTCCTAGATACATTTTGTACCCCCCCATCTAATGTCAACCAGGAACTCCTGAGTGGTGCAAATAGGAGGTGTTCTAGAGAATTATATATAGGAACCCTGGAGGAACAGGGGTTATGCTTTGGCCTGTGATCCTCAAGGTCTCTGGTTTGAAACCACCAGTCACTGTGCATGAGAAAGATGGGGCTTTCTACTTCCAGAAACGATTATAATCCCACAGATCTATAGGGGCAGTTCTACTCTGTCCTACAGGGTCAGTGTGGGTTAGAATCAACTCGATGGCAGTGAGTGAGTTTTAAAAAGTTGGTTGCCAAATACAATGGAAAGAAAATGGAATTTTCCCATTAACTTTTGGAAGCGTACTCAGAATCAAGAGCTCAGCCAGGAATGAAAAAGTTGGTAGGTTTAAGCCACTCAGAAATAACTCAAATGAATGTTCTCATGGCCCACATCTGAAAAACCAACCGTTAGGAGTCCCACAGAACACAGTTTCATTCTGACACATAGGAGGGCCTCCTGAGCAGGTGGTTTGAGGCGATTGGTGTGGTTTGGGCTCCGGTTTTCCAAGCAGTCTATCTACTCGGAGGCACAGTGGACTACAAAAGGTGCTGCGGACCACAGGTCAGTCTCTCTCACACCGACCATTGGCTCTGTGGGAGCAAAGAGGGGATGTCTGCTCCCCACGTAATGATTTAAAATCTCAGCACCCCCAAAGAGAAGTTCTAATGTGTCCAATACTGTCGCGATGAGTTGGAATGGAATTGAGGGCAGTGAGTTACTTACTCAGTTCATGCTGTTTCCTACTTCTAAAGCAATAGACAAGACTACAAACTCTAGAATAGTAGGATGGAGCCACCTACATTCTTAGATAAAACCAGTTACTGTTAGATCTGCGGGTGGGTGGGATATACCTCGGTCCTTGGCTCCGCGCGCATGAGAAAGAATTCATGCCGAAGCCTGGTTTGTGATCCAAGTGAGTTTTATGAAAGAAGTTTCAGGTTTACACAGGCACCCGTATCCCCACACCACCTGCCTAGAAGCTGTTAGAGAGAGAAAGTCCGGCCTGGATCCTGCCTTTTCAATTATTCTGTAGGAGCTGTGGTTGATGACCTTGGTTGAACCCATTGGCTGAATTGAATTCACCTGGCCTAGGTGGGCCAATCCAGGTGCAGCACCTACCCAGGTGTACCCCCGCCCCCCTCCTGGTCGGAAAGCTGCGCCTCTGAGCATGTGTAATGGATGCTCCAATCCCTATGCTAAGCTACCTAAAATTACCGTCAAGTTTATTCCAAGTTATGGTGGCCTCCGTGGGCCAGACTAGAGTGTGCTTCAGATGACTCTCAATAGCTGGACGTTCAGAACTAGATCGAGGACTTTCTTCTGAGGTGCCTCTGGTTGGACTCGAACGTCCAACCTTCTAGTTGGAAGCCAAGAGCATTAACTGTTGATAAGCCTTGGGACCAAGTTGCTTACCTATAGGTCTCATTTCTTGCTTTTAGGCACCTCAGCATTATGAAGAAGGGGAAGTGGAATTAAATGGTTGCTACTCTTAAACTTTCGTTTCAGGCAAACATGAGCAATAGTTGTGTCCTTGTGCCTGACTCAGTGTTTTTATGATTCATTTTGAGGTGCGGCCAATGGTAAATGTCTCAGTATTAAGCAAATACCATTCAATGCCAGGAGCACATCGAAAGGTGGTTTATTCAGGCAAGACAGCAGGGAGTCTAGGCACAAGTTTCATAGACTATGATTAAACCCAAGCTATTTGTCATAGTCGCCAAAGTCTGATGAGGGTGTATAAGGATTGAACTAATTCTCCGGGCTCTGGGGAATTGAAGTGGGTACTACACTCCCTTGACATTCCCTCATCTTAAATTTTATTATCTTGGTTCTTGGAAACTTGGCAATAAAATGGGTAAACATATGGTAGCTTACATGGATTGCAGAATAAGTATTTGCTAATGACCCCACATTTTCTAAAGTAATAATTATCTAATTTGTTGATGTTCACACCAATTATGCTTTGTAATGATGTTTTCCTCCTTCCTTGTATTATAAATTCTGAGTCAAATGCAAGGGGAAAAGTGATACTGGCCAGTAATATAACCTGGATCTTAATCAGTTTCAGAGGTGTTTCAGAGCAGCGTGTGTAGCACGTATTGACATTTACATCTGATTTGTAATACTGTCAGAAGTTTTGAGAGTTAAAGTCATTATAAAAAAATGTCAAGGAGCTGCTGATATGTTTTTCTTACTAACCCTTACAAACATTCTTTAAACGGGTCTGTATTAACTTTAAAAAATGATGTATCTGTTAACCAAGAATTTCCTTTGCAAGCAGGTCTGTTAGAAGGTATTATTTTAGGATTTTTAGATTCTTAAATTTATGTTTCATTTGACTTAATCTCTTCATTTCTTGGTTATACAGCAAGAGTTGGACACACGTTTATATTTACTGAACATCATGCGTGATCCTGGAATTTTGAAACATCTCTTCTCTTCCTGCTTCCTGAGATTCAATGCAACTACCCCACTGGAGTGATGTGTTTGTACCCTCAGAGGTGTTTTTAATGTCACCCCAAACCACACTCAGCTAGGGAGTCAATGCTGCCTCATAGTGACTCTACATAAGAGGGTAGAACTGCCCAGATGAGTTTCCAAGACTGTAATTCTTTATGGTAGCATAAAGTCTCATCTCTGTCCCACCTAGGGGCTACTGATGGTTTCAAACTGCTGACCTTGTGGTTAGCACCTAAACCACTATGCCACCAGAGCTCCTATGTCACAGTATATAATAATTCAACGGTTCTGCTTTTGCCTTATTAAAAAACAGATAACGAATAAGATAGAAACGTTGCACAATCCCTCTGTACAGTGACGTCTGCGGGGCCGTCCGTGGGCCGCAGTGATGTTAAGCAAGTGCCAGTTCCTCCGTGGGGGTTGAGGGTCATTTCTCCCGTGTTCCAGCATCGGATTCATGTGGTCTGGGGAAGTAATTTTCACTTACACATCAAAGTCAGTTCCAAAGCTTAGCAATTTTATCTGAAAGTCGTGCTGGGAACATACCTACTCTTGAGACCTCTCCCTTTATGACCTCTATCCATTGGCATCATTCTGAGCAGTCTTCATCCACAAAATTGTGAAACGATTTTTTGTCCTGTTTTGGGAGTGTCCTGGAGGGTAGGTTTCTGTGTATGAATCAGTGTGTGTGGTTGGGTCGGGGGTGAGGGTGGGTAGAAGCAGAATTACTGCCTTCAGGGCAGAAAGGAAATGCCACAGGAAACAATACCTGCTAAAGGGCTCCGCTTCTATGATAAGGTTGTTGGCTTATCTGGACTCCTGCTTTAGGGAAAAAAAAGAAAGAAAAAAAACAACAACCCAGAAAAACAACCCGCATCTCTTTGCCTTAAAAGGATGCAGTGATTCTTCTTTGGCACAACTGGTTTGCACTTTGAGATTTACGGCCAGCCGAGCTGGTGCGCTTTCCAAGAGCTGCGGGTAACAAACAAAAAGCTCGGCGCACGTGCAAGTTTCTCACTGCGCCGCTCGCCGCAAAAGGAGCCCAGTGGTGGCGCAGCTCCTCCCCGCGCCCGCCGCGCATTCCTGCGTCTCCGGGGTCCGGGCTCCGCGGTCCGGCTCGGCCCCGCCTGGGCCCCTCCCTCGCGGCCCCCTGGCACCCTCTCCCGGGCGGCGCTCTGGGTGGGGCCTGGCGGCCCGTGTCCCGGCGGCGCGCCCGGGGAGGGGCGGGGCGGGGTGTAACCGGACACCGGCGCGCGCGCCCAGCGCCGGCCACTTTCCATTCACGGCGGGTGCCGGCGGCTGCGGCGGCGGCGGGCGGGGAGCGCTTTACAAAGAAACTCCGAGCGCCCGCGAGACACTTCGGCCGCTGGGACGCTCTAGGCATTCTAGTCTTCGGGGACCAGGTTTGGGGACACGCGCCGAGCCAAGCAGCCACACATTGACGACTTCTTCGAGCCGATTCCTTGGCACTTCGGTAAGCGCACCAGACGTTACTTTCCGCGTGGTCGCTGTTCCCAAACCGAACTGGGTTGTGATGATGTTGGGGTTCGGGGAGGACTTCTCGGGGCTCCAGGTGCTCCAGGGAGGACGTTTTCCTAAGAGCGCCCGCGGTGCGTCCGGGAAATGGTGCGCTCGCCGGGAGCCGGCTGCAGTGATTGCTTTAGGCAGTGACACCTGCGGAGTGGAAAGTTGACACTTGGCGGAGCGTTCCCTGGCAAAATCGCTCAAGAAAGGCCACGGGACAGTATTTTTCCCACACCATGTGTGAATCGTGTCACACGTTGTTGGTTTGGGGATCAGAAAGCAGCCTGTAAAGATGCTCTGTATCGTTAAACACAGAAGTCAGATCCTGGGGTCAGGAGGGAACGCGTGCCAGTCTGGGCTTCACACTCATCATCGCTAGGTAGGACTGAAATCTGATTGCTCAAGGACTCCTTTCATTTGACCTGTCAAATCCAATCCCCCACCCCACACACACACCCCGCACCCCAATTTTTTACCCTTTTCCATTTATATCAGCATTTCCTTTCGCGGGGACATATCAAATGGGGTACTAATAATAGCAATATATAAATTGTGCAAATATCATTAGCTTGCTTGGATTGGATATATTTAAAGGCTTGTGCTTTGATTTTAGATCTATAGTTAAAAATAAAGTCAACAAAACTAGGGAGTGAATTGGTAAGAGAAAGTACCGGTGGAATCCATTTTTCTTCTAAATTAATTGAGGGATGACAGGGTGAAGAGGTTGTGGAAGCAGGAAGAAACTGTTCCTTTTGAAAATTACCAACACAAACATTTCTTGGGGTGCCCGCCATCTGTGTGGCAAAGAGTGTAGATTTCCTTTCTAACTCTGAGGAAATCAATTGATACTTTTTGTTAACAATTGCATTGGAAGCTGACTTCTTTGGCTTAGGAATTAAGGAAGCATGAATTTCAGTGTTTAGAGACATTTCTTTATGGAATAAAGTTGGGGATAAAATTTTAGAAGTCACAATATTGGAGCTCAACATTGTTGTACACTGTACACATAGATACCAGAGTTCAAGTCTCCAGGTCATTCTATTGTGCAAGTATATGGAATTGAACATAATGGGATTCTTTTTATTTTGCATATTGTGGCTACTGTAGGTTCCCACTAACCTATTACCTGGCTTTCCTTGATATTCTGAGATTAGTTAATAGCATGTATTCATTTTATAGCCCCAGCTTCCAGCTGTAACACTTGTCTCTCTGATTTATCTTTTCCAGTGTTGACAGCCCACTTTCTGGTTGATTTATTAAAAATATGCATTGGTGGCTATGCAGTTCACTAGGTAGCTCACCACTAGCTCATTGCAATGACTTTGGCACAGGTCCATGGTTATGTCATCAGCATCATTCACAGCTGCACGGTCTTATAAATTGGTAGATCACTGATTAGAGTGATTTTACTGATCAAGGATTGGGCTAGATTTATGTATAGAAACATCACTTCAGATACCAGGACTGCAAGAGAAATAACGAGCATAGATGTAAATGGAGACACAGGAATGTTCACGAGAGAGCCCCTTCCAGCTACTATACTTATAGAGGCCATGAGGATTTTTCATCTACTAATAACTTATTGGTAGCATCTTTTAAAAATAAACATAATGTGCTGTTTTAGGGAGACTAAGTTTAAATATAATTTTCTTCTGGAATCCAATACCTAGTTGCTTGCTGCTTTGTTCTGTTTCATTATTAACCACATTTGCTGGAAGATGAAACAGTTCTTGTTCCCCAAACTTCTAGACCCAAATGAATCAAGTCCAAATTTTCATAGCTGAGAAACAAAGTTACAGCACCTCCTACTGTTTGCACTGCTACATACCATATATACTCATGTATAAGCTGAGTTTTTCAGCACATTTTTAATGCAGTTTTTGTGGTAAAATTAGGTACCTCAGCTGATATTAGGGTCGGCTTATACTCGAGTATATATGGTAAGTTCAGTCTTTTTAGAGTGCTCAGACTAGGTTAACTCTTTATAATCCTAGAATGTGAAAATAGATATAGTTAAAAATGTGCCGTCTGTTTTACAGATACTTTCCTTGGATATTATCTAGCAAATCTCAAGAAATGGCTTTCTGGGCAATTCACGTGTTGATTGGAGTATTTGCTTATTCCACCTGTGCAAGAGGATCTTCCCAGCCCCAAGCACGAGTTTTCTTGACATTTGATGGTAAGGAAGTTGATGAGTACTTTGGGGTGGAATATTATTTTTTCTTTATTATCCAGATTAGAAAATGGATAAATGAATGAGAGAAAATTATTAAGTATGGTCCAATTTCAGAACAATTTTTTACACTGTCTTTGGGATGATGTGGGCATTTTAAATGATTGATTATTAAGTTAAAGATCTCTATTACCTTTGAGAAAATGTTTGCTTGAAATGTATGCTACTTTTTTGTCCCTGAAGTTTCTTCAGTGTTTTTAATGTGTATATGAGTTGGGGGAAGATGCCTAAGAATTTTGACCATAACCTTCAACTAGTTTTGAATAATGCATGTGCTATAATGAATGTACTGATCCTCAGCAACAGGAAGAGCAATGTATATTTAATTGCTGAAAAATTGTCCCAATGAATTTTAGACATTTATCTGGAAATGGATCATTCCTTATGTTACACTCTCGTGGTGTGCCTGTCTTCTGTTTCCACAAGATTATCACAGTGTTCTCATTTGAAAAACTCTCAGAGAGTAGCTGGAAACATGTTATATCTTTTGCTAGTGTATACAAATGTTTTCAGAAACTTAGGGAAGTCTATATAGTTTCATATTTTCAAACATAAAAGGTATTGGGTGCTCTGAGAGGACGTTTGGACAAATGTGTGAAAAAACCTCCAATGAATATGGTTAAAAGATAGATGGTTTTGGTCAATGGAGGAACCCATAGTAATAAGACAGTTCAGGTAAGAAATGGCTGAGATCCTCTCGCACCCTCTAATAGGAACATCTTAAAAACCATTCTATCAGAGGAAACTTTACGTCAGGCTGGGGTCACTTTCACATGTTGGAGGGAGAGGGTGTAGACCTATCAGTTCCTGTCATATAGTATCATTCCACAGTCACCTCAAATCAACACACACTCCTACAAGGGTCCTCAGCAAACCTTACTGTGAATGCAGATCCAGAGGAGAGTGGTGGGGTGGTGGTGGTGGTGGTGGTGGGTGATAGCTGTATCAGAGGCGGTGATTTCACTGCTGTTGGTGGGTACACCACCCTACATTGGGAACAATTCTCCAATGGGAGAAACCGCCCCTCATCAGGCAATTTTGACTGAGTTTCTATCTGGACCTTGGAGAACTAGATCACGCGCTGTCGACAACGGGGCCTTAGCCTTTTGCCTTTTGAGGTGCACCACATCATTCAGAGGCAATGCAGGAAGGATGAGATTTGGAAATCCCACTAACTCGGAGAAGGGAAGGGTAATAGAGCTTACAATCTGAGCACCTGATTTGGAGAAAGCTATTGAGAAGTACATCATGCACGGGAGAGAGGGGCAGCAAAGGAGGGGAAGGTCCTCAAGGAGATGGATTGACACCATGGTTGCAGCAGTGGGCTCAAGTATAGGACCAATTGTGAAGATAGTCCAGGATTGTGCAATGTAGCTATGGGTTGGAACTGACTCTGGTACCTAAAAACAACAACACGAATGACAGCGAGCCCCGCCCCCCCCCCTACCAGGCTTAGGTGACCAGGTTAAGCTCAGCACTCTCATTTGTTCTCCCTTTTGACACATTCTGAATTTGTACTAGGGTATTTCCTGCTTCTTTTGGATTGAGGTCTTACTGTGTTTAATTTTGTAATTGTGTTATGCGGTGGGCCATCGTATGTCTTTGTGTATGAGATCCAGGACAGGGTAGTCTATAGAGACAGTAACTGGATGAAGGGCTTCTTAGTGTTAGGAGAGGGAGAGTTTGGATAAAAGTAGGGAGCTAATAATAAGTACAAGGATGAAGGAGATGTTCTAAAATTTATTGTCGTGATGATTGTACAACTCTTTTTTTATATGTGTAAACCACTGAAATATATGGTAAGAAAATTATTTTTAATTAGCTGTCAAAATAATAAATGTACCAAATATTCTGGTTGTATGAAAAAACATTAAAAACAAAAAGAGAAGAAACTAATGGATGAAGAATCCCAATCTGTCAGGGTCATTTATATTTTCGTTATTTCTTTCAATTTTGTGTTTGCTAAAACTTCAGTGCCATTGACTAGATGCATAGTTCTCAGGCCTGCCTTTAGCAGGATGTCTCAAAGACTCTCTTATCTTGAACTTCCTACAACAGTATGGCTGACACTTACCAGTCAAATGACCGTGTTTTCTTTCTTTCTTTAGAGTTCACAAGAGCTCTTTTCCAAGGTCATTATAAGTAGCGAAGGAGCCATATTTAGAACCTGGAGTATGTGCACTTCTAATTGCTTCCTTACCCTGCAAGCCAGGCATTCCCATTAAAACCCTTGGCTATCCAGTTAAGTTGTGAAGAAGAGAAGAGTAGATGCTGTGACATGTCTCTTCTGTTAATAACTAAAGCATTTTTGCAGTTTGTTCATACCTTTTCTCCTAATATGAGAACAAAAATAAAAAGGCATTGAAAAGCAATAGTTTTTCCTTCTCTAACAATTCTCAGTGTAAAAGGAGATGGTGGGGTCCCATCGTTTAGATGCAGCATCTCACGTTACATCCAAACTAACCCAAACTTTTGATGTAGATTTTAAGAACAGAGGTGTAGTTCATCAAGTATATATTTGAAGATGATTATAATTTATCTTTTATATCAGGAAATTAAGTACTTCGATCTTATTGAACAAAGCAAATATGATGCAGGACAATAAATACTATTTTTTAGCATGACTAGAAATTATGATTTTTAAAAAAATGCTGTAATAGTTTGAATGATCTCAAATACAAAACAGATTCTTGAAGAATAAGATCCATTTAATTAATAAGGTGTATAGAATGGAGCATGATAAGACTAAACTATTGCTTTGACAATATATTGCTATATTGCCTGACAATACTCTACCATTCCGAAGAGCATTACTTGCAAATAATCAAATATTTTGAAAACCATTTCATTTGGTAATTATATAAAGGGATATATCACTATAGATAATACATTTAATTAGAGACTTAACACTTCATAAATAAACTTTTTAGAGCCTTAAAATAAACCATATTCAGCAGGTAACATAGGAAAAGTTCTTTGGGAAAAAATAACTGTAAAATCATGGTAACATCAACCATTAATTCAAAGTTCCTTGCTTATCGGATGTCACACCTTGAGATCCCTATTTCAGATTCATTGTTGGCAGTTCCTTATTACCCTGTGATGTAATAAAATAAGAATAGCATACTGAGTAGATTACCATGAATCTTTCAAAATGTTTTAATCTTGATATCAAACTCTAGAGCTTTGCTGTAGACTTGACCTATATGTCACTATAGATTTTGAGCAGTACATATGGATCTGTATCCCCCTGCGTTTTTTCATATCTCAAGATGTGAACCCGAACTCAAGTATTGGAAGATGATCTTGAATAAATTCAAATATTTTAAAGACCTATCAGACAGTGGTTATTTGTATCATGTTTTCAATAGCTATATCATTAAATATCCTCATAATTGCCTGGACTCTGGCCCTTTCATTTTGAAATCTCTCTTACTATCCTTCTTTTCCATGGAACATTTGACAAATCCTCTCCGTCTGGTCTTATGGTTCAATTAAGCATCTCTGTCAATTTAAAAGTGTGTGAAATAAGAGCTCTCTTCTCACATCCTCATTTTTCTTCTTCTTGTGGTAGAACAAAATAGTGATAGCCTTTCAGAAACCATAATTTACACATTGGACTTTCCTATTGATCTAGAGCAAGGTCAACCAGATGGTCATCAGTCCTATGATGGAAGGATGCACTTCAAATGTTATTACTTAGTTACATTTGGGCAAGTTAAAATCCCCATGTTAAAAGAGCTGTGACTTCAATTAGATAACCATATGTTGTTATTTTAGATTTCACATTTTATTCCAAACAGCTTTGTAGATGACTATAAAATCCACGGAAATGCATGCAGTTTGCTTATATTGAATTTTGGTGATAAAAACTAATAGGTCGATAGTTACATATCATTATATACAACATGATTTTTTTTAGCTAGAGGTTGATTGGTTTTATTCATCTCTTTAGTGAGATGGCTTTTGATTTAACTTATATACTACCATTTTTGTTTAATACTTCATTGATTTGTGCTATAAAATTCATTGTTACCTTATTTCTAATTACTTCAAATTTATCTTCCTTTTGTAACTTCTTAACCTAGAAGCTTGAGTCATTGATTTGAGTCCATTTACACTATACATTTCTATCAAAGTACTGATTTAGCATTATCCAATGTATTTTGATGAAATATGTTTTAATTATTCTCTTTCACTCACTGCCCTGAATTGATTCCAACTCATTGTGACCCTAGAAGACGAAGTGGAACTGCCCCTGTGCCTCCGGGTGTACATCTTTATGGGAGGAGGGAGCGTCACCTTTCTGCCAGGGAGCGGCTGCTGGGTTTAAATGACTGACTTAATGCTTAGCCGCTCCACTCCTGGTTCACTATGCCACCTCGGCTCTTTTATCATTATCCGTCTATTTAAAATCATCCTGATTTGTCAATAATAAACTTTGAGGCTTTGTCAAGACTAATTAAAAATCAATTAAAATAATTTCAGTTAAAAAAAAGAGGTCTAAAATATCTCTAAGAACCCATGTTGACCTAAAATGATACAATATCACAGTTTAGTTTTGATTTATAAATGTTACCTTCTTTGGAAAAATCATCCACAAGAGTTCCTTTTAGTATTTCAAGATAATTTTGTATGAAGAACCTGAGAGAGAAATGGAACGCAAATAAACTATTTATAAATTATGGATTTTAGAGTAATTCAGAACTAATTTTAAATCATGATTCATTAGTTTATTTATCTCCTTGATCCAAAATCTTAGCATCTGAAAAACAGGAATGACCCATATGCATAGAGCTATTTTTGATGATTAAATGAATGAAGAATGTGAAGTGGGTACCCATAGTCAACATCACGAAGACTTGCCATACAGTTCACAATTACAAGCTTTTCCTAGGGCAAAATATATAGTCTTCATTTGTGTTGCAATAACCTGCTCTCTACTT